ACAGAAACACAACTTAGAGGTTTCAACTGCTCTTGAAGTGCATGAAATCTGGTTTTAGAGACAGCTCAGAGCAGTTGAAAGCTGCCGGATGGGGCAGCGTGTCCCGGGTCGGGGAGGAGTTATGTCCCGGGATGGGGCAGCGTGTCCCGGGTCGGGGAGGAGTTATGTCCCGGGATGGGGCAGCGTGTCCCGGGGTGCTGCCCTGTGTGACCCTTAAATGTCGCCTCCAGTCCCCCAAAAAGGTGGGCGATGATATTGCCAAGGCCACGGGTGACTGGAAGGGGCTGCGGATCACGGTGAAGCTGACGATCCAGAACAGGCAAGCGCAGGTACCACACGCCGCGGGGCTGAGTGGACAGGCTCTGTCTGCCACCAGCCACAGCCCGGCAGGGTCCACTCAGCCCTTCATCCTTCCGAGGTGGATAAAATGAGTGCCACGCACAGCGTGTGTGGGGGTCTTCTGGGAAGACCTTAATGGGGGGGGAGTTATCTGAGGGCCTTGAGCTCCAGCCTACGGTGGGAAAGGAGAGAGTGTGGGGGGGAGAGGGGGAGAGTGGAACCTGGGGCTTGCCAGGCTGGAGATTCCCAGGCTCTGAGCTGTGGGAAAGGATCTTCATATGCCAGCCCTCGATTCTTGTCCTGTTGCAGATAAATTGTCCCTAATACCAGTAAAAAAATCCCTGTATTTCAAGCAACATATAAATAAGTGACAAGTGGCCTTCCATGCCTCTGTAGCCACCTGCCACCGTGCCTGTCCTGACCCCTGTGGCTGGTGCATTCCAGTGGTGAGCTGAGAGCAAGCCCCAGGCAGGAAGCAGTCCTCTCCTGGCTGTGGGGAGGCCTGTGCCGAAAACCTGGGAACAGACATCCCAAAAAACCTTGTATGAGTGAATTAACCAAACCCGTGTTGTTCTGGGAATTAACTTTGTTAGGCTAATTGATTGCTTGGCTGAGTATCTCAGTGATGGAACTCTGTGTGGAATGCGGGGGGAGGAAACTAATCTCTTTGCATTTAGATAGAGGTTGTTCCTTCTGCCTCTGCGCTGATCATCAAAGCTCTGAAGGAGCCTCCTCGTGACAGGAAGAAGCAGAAGAACAGTAAGTGCTCTCCTTTGGCTTTGGTTCTGAAGGGTTTGGAGGGGAGAGTCACTTTCCCCTGGGGTTACCCAGCACTAACTGGCAAACAGGTGCCACGGGGCTGTTTTGGGCAGTGCCAAGGCACAACCGGTGCTACTGCAGCAGTGCTCTGGGGTTTAGAGGGTCACAGAATCACAGTACTTTGGGTTGGAAGGACCTTAAAACCCATCCAGTCCCATCCCTTGCCCTGAGCAGGGACACCTTCCACTAACCCAGATGGTTCCAAGCCTCATCCAACCTGGCCTGGAACACTCCTAGGGTTGGGACAACCACAGCTTCTCCGGGCTGGCCTGGAACACTCCTAGGGATGGGACAACCACAGCTTCTCCGGGCAGAGATGGGGAAGAGCAGTCACTGCCACTGTAGCTGTCCTGTGACACAGGGCCTGGTGCGCTCCGGGGTGAGCAGGCAGACATTGACTGAGGGAGCAGAGCTGTGTGCTTGCTGGCATACTCCCAGCTCTCCCTGTGCTCCCAGTGCTGCACTGGTGCCCCTGGGGAGGCAGGGGCTGCTGGCAGTGCCTTTGTGCAGGTGAGCTCAGTGCTGCTGGTGTTCCCTCCACAGTTAAGCACAGTGGCAGCGTCACCTTCGACGAGATTGTGAACATCGCGCGGCAGATGCGCCACAGGTCCCTGGCTCGGGAGCTCTCAGGTGAGTCCTGGCCCTGGGATTCATGGAGTGCTGAGTGCCTGACCTGAGTTCTGCTCTGCTTTCTGCCAGGGCCCAGAGCTGGGTGTGCTGTGGTGCTCAGCACATGAGGAGAACCCAGAAACAAGCTGTGGGCTGAGAGCAGCCAGACCCAACATCTGGGGAGCGTTAATACAGGGAGGGGAGAGGTACAGGGAGCACTTCTGGTGCATTCCCTTGGAGACAAACCAGGGTATCAGACCTGCAGAAGTGGTTTGCTGTTCCTTGAGGCTCCAGCCTGCCAACTGCGGAGGGAGGGACAGCTGGAGGGTGTGAGGAATTGTCTGTCACAGAACTACACACTGGTTTGGGTTGGAAGAACCTTCGAGCTCCCTGCCAACTGCAGAGGGAGGGCCAGCTGAAGGGTGTGAGGAATTGTCTGTCACAGAACTACACACTGGTTTGGGTTGGAAGAACCTT